ATATATTTTTGATTCCGTTGTGAACATTTTTGTAATTTAATAATACTATTCACATTAACTTCCAAACAAAAATCATCAAAATGAAGTTTGTCTTTTTTTGAATAAACCAAAATCTATATAAAATTAAAATTTTTATCCTGTACAAATCAAATTTAATGATACAAAGAAATCATTTTTTTTATACAGAGATTAAACTAGAATAAATCGATTAAAAAAATGATCCAGCGAAATTCTCAATAGATACAAAATGTTCGGCAGCATGTGTGGGTGTAGATATGGGTGTGCATGTTTAGGCATGGCACAATACCAATACGGTATTGAGGTATTGGTATTGATTTGTATCGGTGTTAAATGGTATTGCTATTGACTGGTATTGGTATGGCTAATATTTGTACTAACAAGAATTAATACTCAATACCCTTCAACACCTTTCAATGCCATTCAATACCAATACAATTCAATATCAATATCAGTCGATACCAAATGGTATTAGTATTGTGATATTCCTATGGATGTTGGTCTTCTTTCATCCACCCACGCCATACTCGCAGAAACCGACGATTTACCAGCGGTAGTATTTACGACTTTCGATTTCAACTATAAACAATTACAGAGAGTATTTTCTACCCAAATCGAACTTTTATTAAAAAGAACTCAAATCAATCGAGGAAAAAAACAATTTCAGAATATATTTTAAGCTCACTATCTCAAAAACGTTTCTTTTTGACTAGTTTTGATACAATAGGTGTGGGTGTGGGTCCTTCTTAAAGAAAAGATTCACACCCACACCCTATTATATAATACAAACATAACTTATCTTTGAACATGTTGCTACATTATTTTATGTATCTTTAAAAGATAAGATTTCCAAATACTATGAAGATGGGTGTGGGGTGGGTGGGTGTGTCGGAGTCTTCGTTTTATCCACACCCACACCCACACCCACACCCATAATGTTACACTTGGAAGTGCTTACATGATGATTGAGAAAGAGATGAAAGTATTCAAGCTAGAAGCGACATCAATTATGCACAGCATTCCATAATTTAGCACTAACATAATTGCGAAAACTATTCGTACATGCTAATAAAGATATTAAGGAAATAATTAAAAACGAGTCATCGTACATTATCACGAAGATAAAAAGAAAGAGGCATACAAGTAAGAGGAAGAACACTGCTAAAAAAGTAAAATGGAGAGGAATTAAGTCAGCGAAGAGAAGAAAAAAAGACAGCAAGAAAGAGAGAGAGAGATGTATTACATTGTATTCGTTTTCTTTCTATTAATTTGCTTCTACAAAAAACAGCCACTTTAGTAGATGCAACTCGTGCCGACCTATCATTTGTTCCACCTGATGTCTACGAAAAAAAATGACTGAGGTGATCGTTTTTTCTTTTATGAAACTCATTCCAAACGAACATACCGTTATCGAAAAGCGAGGATCTAAAGATCGGTCAAATGCATGGTTCTGAATCTTTTTCGAATATATTTTGTAATGTAAAAATCTAGAGAGCGCTCAGAGATGAAAGGACAGCGATGCAGCAGTCTAATTCCTACACAAAATTATTGTTGTAATATCTATTGCTGAGCCTCTGAAAGCAGGAAACAAAACGGAAATAACTAAGCAAAATGTGAAGATGTATACGCAAAGAAACATTGACGAAGAACCTTCGAGAATATATTAAGTCTAGATTTTAACTATCTCAGTTTTCCTAGAGATCTCTGAATATTTCCTACACATTTGTCGATTATGGGTTTCAGGAATAGTTTATTCGTATATGTGAACTCTAGATACTTAAGTTCTTTAATCAATTCAATACTTTCTCCGTTCATTATAACGTTAAGTTTTGGTCTTCTTATTTGTGTATGAAATAACTGTGTAACGTTACTGAATCATTGAGTCTAATTTCTTCATCATATAAAGTTTAATCAGTACGTTCAAATCATCAGCCAAAACATGACAAGAATGAGCCCGCAGACAATTTATTAGGTCATAGCGAAAGACAATGAACAAGTATGGATCGAGACTACTTCCGTGTGGAAGTTCTATATTTATATCGAAAATATATGATGTTTTTGCACCAAATATTGTATAGACTTTCCTATCTTTTAACTAGTTTTCTATCATCTTCAGTAGCTCGAGTAACATACCAAATTTCTCTAGTTTGAACAAAAGAGTGGCATGCCATAATCGGTCATATGCCTTTTGATAATCGACATATATAGAAAGTGTTGGCAAGTTAGAAGCTGTATTATTCTTCACTTCCTGATAAATCGATAGTACTCTAGTGGATAAAAGACAGTTTGAACCAGAGATGTTGGTGGCTGATTTTTTTTTGGCCTGATTCGCCAACCCGTCACAGACTGCCCGCGGATTCATACAGACTTTACTAGTATAATATTTACTTACAAATTCATTATGCTTTTTCTTGAACCGTTCATTTTGTTTTTTATTTGTGAAACTAAAAGTTTTATAATTAGAATATTATGTGTGATTTGTGAACATAGACATAAGTATTAAAAAATTTCTATAAAAGTACAAGACAAGCAATAGTGAAATGAAAACCACAGTATATGGTCATGCATGCAATGTTAATAAGAGCAGATGCAACTTGAGTGTAGTGCGGATGTGACTCTCCTTTTTACGCGCACCCTCGAATCAAACAGTGAGAGAAAAGCCCATTATAATGGAGTATGCGAGAGATGTGTACTAATTGTTTTTTGATACAGCACTGTGATGGAATGTCGTAGAGACTTGATTGTTCTTTTGTTAGAAAGAACAGTGTCTTGTGGAAAATTTGAGGGTGTGGGTGTGGCCGTGGCGGTGGGCGTGATGCTAGTTAATGATCAGAGGACCGAACCCACACCCCGCTTTTGAACAGTTGGACAAAATATCACAAAAAATAGTTCTTAGGTCAACCCTTGCAACATTGTAGTGTAAGACAATGTAACTCATTGAGATTTATTACTTTTAAACTAGGATTAATTGTCTTTCGTTATTAAACTATTTATGCTTACGTTTCAAAAGATAAAATCATTGTTACTGAATCTGAAGTTACTTCTTTCTTCATTGAATATGCATTATTGACAAGTTTTTGTATGTCTACGGATAAATTTCATAATTTACTTGCCCAACTATTAGATAAAATTCATGCAAGTAAACAAATATATCGACTAGAGTGCCATGTGAACTCTATGACTTTGCTCATATTGGTTCATCACATTCGTTGCATATATTGACTAAGCGCGACCAGTCATCTGTTGCATTCAGGAAAAAAATTTTGGAGCCACTCAAAAAGTTGTACATACATTGTTTTTGTTGTTCATCTTTAACGACTGAGAAATATCCTTTTGTTTTCTTCAAACTACCACATCAAAAAGGCTTTTTCCAATCAATTGAGAAGAAACATCCTTCAGTACACAAACTTAGTTTGACGAATGTCATTGCAACAAAGTCTTTCGTGTAATTCTACTGAACAGAACAACAAGAAATAAGAACACGCTGAGGAAATAAATGCAAAAAATTCCGTTTGTCAAGTTCAAACAGACTTCTTCGAACAGTACTCAAACATGCAATTTTTTTTCTTGAAAATAGAATTTTTTCTTCTAATTTTCTAACTACCTGCGAAGATGATGACGGCAGTGTATTTGTGTCATCACTCGTTGACTTTTGTCCTGCATATTTGGACATTAAAAGTCACTTTTCTTACGATGTTATAGTCGATTCTAGCTACAAAATATTATCTGTTTGTTTATTTTACACGGAATATATTACCTACTGTTGATTATTGTAGACAGTGATTGTTGGTATTCTCTTTGAGCTTTATTAACAATTTCATATATTGTTCATCATTAATCACACTAGAATGTGGGTGGGTGTTCTGTCTTCAAACTCACATACTCACACTTACACTCGATCCCAAGGTTGTATAACAAATACTGGACGACATTACGAGTTGAAATAGTACAAATACTTTTTGCTTCGAAAATACAATTCTACAATAATTTACATGTATTTCTTCATGCAAAGCATAAAGATAATTTTTCTGACGATGATTCTATACCAAATAAATTGCAATCCTTCAATGAAAGATCGAATTTGTTTCATTGCATAGTCCGAAATGTGTCCGCCATATTGTATAGCAAACCATTCACTATCAATATGATCGATCATTGACGTTGATAGTACTTTCGACGTGAAAAATCGTTTGATTCTAATAAGCGTGATTAATAATGGCCGGATATAATTGTGATGGGCTGTGTCGTTAGCCGTTTTGTTCTGAGTTCTCATGATTCGTTCATGATCATATTCGAGGCGAAATTTATCGTCGATATCGTGCAGTGATTTATAAAGAAATCGATCTGACGTCTCTAGGATAACATAGCCATCTATTGTGCTTTTCTTTTCTGATCTAAGAGCGATTCCAGAAGATTCAGAATATCATTCAATGATTTATCATCACGAACACAGGAAGAAACGCTTCGACATTCTCTTTCAAACAACAAAAATATTCGATTTATCTGTCTCATATCCTACAGCATAATCCTTCTTGTAACTCAAACGTCAGAGTTCAAGTTATCTCAATGATGTAAACAGATGAGAATCACGTATCTAAACCGAACAAGAGGAGACATTCACTCGGTAAACTCTTCACATGATAAAGTGTTGTCTAGACCATAGATAGCGCTCAAGGTCACACATAGAAATGATTTAGACGTTGTACAACAACAATATGGATTTTATTTTTCGACCAAGTATCGATGAATGAAAAAAACGAATCCTTTAGCTTGTGTATTCGAACAGAGGAAAAATGAATCAAACGATATGTACATCTCACTCACGTAATGCATAAATACATCGTACAAGTGTAAAAAAACGGCTCAATAGAAGCGTATGAGAGAGAAATCGCGTGTTGTGATTTTAGTAATAAAGTCGATAAGCAAAAAAAAATACAAGTGCATTAGAAATACGTGAGTTTATTTCGCTCTTGAGAAAATATTCAGTTCAAATGATTGTCATCGAGCATTGTTCCGATTCGACTTAGAATAATGCCAATTCGAGTATTGTTAATAGTGACGGGCTCTAAATTGACTCGATTCATGACGTAGGCAAACGAAAGATTCTTGGCTGGAGCAGCAAATGCAATACTACCCCCCGCTCCTAAAAAGTATCGATTTATCGACACTGAAATGTCTACAGATCGATCTTACCGGTATGACCAAATGATTTCGATCCGAACATCGGGAAATCTTGTTCGTAAAGCATAAAACCCATACCGAAAGGAAATGGTATTTTCATGATGATATCGATTTCGTTTGGCAATGTATTCAATGTTGTGGCGCGTTGCAAGATTTCCGGTTGTAATAATCGACTATCCTCTCGATCATCAATATTGCCGATGAGTGAAGCGAAAATACGAGCTAACGATCGTGCATTTGTGATGCCATTTCCAGCTGGAATTTCTGCTTGATGTGCTCGGGCTTCATTGAAGAACTCATACAATGCCAACATGGATCTATTCATGATTCTTTCAATATCGGTAAAAATCAACGGTGATACTCGTTGTTCAAATTCTTGCGGAAGACCAATATAGAATTCAGTTTGTAGTCGATCAGCGATTTCTTCTCGAATAAATTCTCCGATTGTTCGCCTCTGTGGATCGACTCGTCGTATGAGTTCGCCAGCTAACCATCCGTAGGTAAATGCATGATAACCTTGAGCATGTCCCGGAAGCCAGACAGGTCGTTCCTGTTCAAGCAAATCGATCATTGTTGTCCAATTCAGATATTGGTCGGACGAAGAGATCAAAACATCAGGCACACCAGCACGATGTGACAGAATATCTGCGACAGTCGTATTCTCTTTGCCTTTCTGTCCGTATTCTGGCCAGTAACGCGTCACAAGTGCTGAATAATCCAGAAGACCTCGTTGAACGCAAAGTGCTGCAGCGATAGCAACTAAACCTTTCGTTGTGGAATATACCAATTGAAGTGTCTCGTTATCATAGACTTTCGTCTTTGATGCATCGAACCATTCGCCAGTCAGATCTGCTACTACTCGACCCTGATGATAAATCGCGATCGAGCTACCTGTATCTCGTCCTTGCACGAAATTCTCTCGGAACAAATCTCGTACAAATTCCCACCCATTAGCTGTACTACCGTAGAGATTCAGATCGGCACTAATCACCAATGCAATACAACTCAACCAATAAATCACAGTCAACCACATGATTCTATCTTTGTCTGGTTCTTGTAAAGAACGAATAAAATCTAAAATGAATAGCGATAATCAATACTAGACAAATAACATTGACATTTTTTTTTCGTAATCCTTCTAGATAATGTGTATCGTGTCGAAAGAAAAAAGAAAACCGATAGATTACAGAAAGAATAGATAAATAGAGCAATAATCGAAGTACAATCGTGAATATCCATCGAAGTAGAGAAAAATACCGATCGATAAAGAGACAGAATGATTTTTTACACAAGTATGCTTTTTCATGGTTTTATCGTAGGATAGAGGTGGCGGTTAACGCATGCGCATTAGATTACAGATGGGTTGAGAAGTAGACGATCCTGAGGCGATCATAGATTCACTTGTATTTAATCCATTTTCATACCGTCTCAATGCACCAACATATTGACACAAACATATTGAATTCTAGAAAATAAACACGATCATAATAGACCAAATCACGTGTTCCATGGCATTGAACGAAGTAGCGCAAATGAGATTCGATGTAAAACGGAAAATGTGACTGATGTTCGTGCAGAATCTACTGATATGAGACATGATGTTAACGGAAATATTTGTCTCATATATGTACGTTACTTTCCACAATATTATCTGCGTGATTGACTGAATCAGCATGATATGCCATCAGACATGAAACTCTTTTCACGTCAATGCTTGACAAACTAATGGAATGTTGGATGGAAATAACAAACAAGTGTCATTGTCGGACGAATTTCATATTGAGTTACAAAGTCTACTAGATCGTCTTGTATGTTGGACTCAACATTCTTCCCTATGTAATCTGGATGTGGGTGTGAGTCTTTAGTTCATTCATACTCACGTCTTCAAGATAATGCAAGACGTTTCAGACTAGTTATGTCGGTCGTCTTCATTTATTTTTTGCTCACTTGGATATTATCTTTTTAAACAAGCATTGCCTATACAAAATTACCAAGTTCAATAGCTTTTAGCACATTCTTAAACGAACTCACGGCATTATCAAAGATCGCTTTGTTCAAATTTTCAATCAATTTTTCAACACTTTGAAAGATTACCTTACTATACTCGAATAAAAATAAGCACAATAAGCCTCAGTCCATCTTCGTGAATAGAATAAAATTTTGGTCCTAAACCATAACTTTTCATTCATTTGAACTATTTTCAATCACGCAAAAATCAATAAAATATTCTCGAAAAATTTTAGACCATCCCTTCCATCCAACTTGATTGTAGGGCCAAAACTAGTTTCTTCATACAAAAAGACGAAAAAATAATTTTAGAGGGTTCCGTAGGAGTGCTGTATCCAAGCGAAAAAATGTCGTAGAGAGTTCGGATATATCTCATTTTGTAGAGAATTGTCTCCTCTATTATTGTAAACACTTTGAAGAAAATTATATTTGCGCGCTGTGAAAACTGAAAAATTAGGATTTTGGTTTTCTGAAGAGCTTGTCCTTGGAAATTTAATTATCATTTTTCATTTTTCTATATCCTTGTCGGAAACAGTTTTCTTTACTAG